ACTTTGACTTTCCTAAATGTTGCATTCAATCAACTTGGCTTTGAGGGTGGAAAAGCGATAGCAAAAGCACTTCGTACCAACACTACATTGACTTCTTTAGATCTTTATGATAATCAACTTGGTTACGATGGAGGGAAAATATTAGCGGAAGCTCTTTGTACAAATACTACTCTGAGTTCTTTAGATATTGGATGTAATCAACTCGGTTCTGAGGGAGGAATAGCAATAGCAGAGGCTCTTCATATGAACACTTCCCTAACTTATATAAATCTCTACGATAATGAACTCGATTCTGGAGTCGGAAAAGCAATAGCAGAGGCTCTTCTTGTAAATTCTTCTCTGATCTCTTTAAATCTTAATCATAATGAACTTGATTCTATTGGGGGGAAAGCAATAGCAAAAGCGCTTTGTAAAAATACTACTCTAACTAATTTAGAACTTAATTTTAATCAACTTGGATTTGAAGGGGGAAAAGCATTAGCGGATGCTCTTTACAAAAATAGATCTTTGAGATCTTTGTCTATTGGTCATAATGAAATTAGTTATAAACACATAGATAAATTAAGCAGAATATTTGGCAAAAATGATGCTCTTAAAGTCGATTATTTTGTAATATAATGATGAAAAGCTCTTATGTTAGCATGATTCAAGATTTGTACTTTTTTAAATTGCATATTTTAGTCAGCTTTAAATGAAGTAGGAAAGATTAGTTTTCTTAAATTTTGCTTTTGCTTTTTTTTTTCTTAATTGTAATGTTGAAATAAATAAAGAATCAATGCTATATTGAAATGATTGCTTTTATTAGGGCGTTAAGTGTATTAACTGTCGCGAGTGACGGTGATGATGAATGTGGATGGGTCCCTATTAAATATATTTAAACACACTTATTCCGTTTGATTAACGAATTTACCCTAAGTATCTGGTATTAAAATAGGTCATAATTTCACTTACGACATTAATTATTGAATCAATAATAAACTAGGGCAAAAAGTAAGCTAAACCGGGAAGTAAGATATAAAAAAAAATCACTAGCTATTTTATAGGCATAGAAAAAAAAATTTATTGAAGAAAAGTTATATAACTTTAGACATTTTAGATGTTATGTATCATTTATTGATATTCGTCAATTCGGAATCGACATGACATTTTTGAATTTCGAATAACCTACGTCCGGTGTTAATTTTTAAATCAAACTTATTGTGCAGTTTACCGCACAATTTGTAACCTGCGCGCGGTAAAAAAAAATACCACAATCACCGTTTACGTTCTCGTTAATACCATAAATTATATTAAAATTAATAAAGCAAAAATATCTTCGGAATTTTCTTATTTA